CGACCAACTACTTAGTGGACAAATACCTACTTCATGGTTCACCCATATGGAAGGTCAGTGAAGCGGATCCACTCACAAGAAGCTAATTCAAGCCAACAAGACGGAAATATTATTGATGTTGTCTGAGACTTTCTGTACGATGCATAATCAGGTGTTTGGGGTCTTTCCAAAGCCGTCTCAGTAAAATTACTTAACCTCTCCGGCTGACAAAAGTGGAAAACGATTCAGAGACGTTTATCGCAAGTCCGCACAATGCTCAATCAAATTTAAAACCTAGCTGCAGACTTTGATTCACTGATGCATTTCCTGAATAGCTGTGGTTGACACTGTGGCAGGAGCTAGAATCATCTCACTGACAAAGGAGCAGTACCTAAAGCCATTAACGGCTTGCTTACCACACTATACAACCGAATGTTCGTTGTCCCCACCCTCAAACTCTGGTTCTCCTACTTCCGTGTTTTCATCAACTGGCATTTTCCCTATTGAACTCACACATCTCAACGAGTTGCTGGTTAGAATAAATTAATCGATTTTATCAAACAACCCCTTTCATCTAGTATTGTTGCGCAGATGTCCTCTCTAAGTACACTACATTTCACACTGGAAACTCACAGTCACTGCGCATCTATTATCCAGTCTTTTCTAGTGGTCCTCAAGTCGTACTCTTGTCCATATTACCTACGACCTCTTTAATCACACCATGATGACCAACCAGCAGAACTCACTGAAACACAGCAATTGTCTCTGAATAAATTACAGGTCATGAATCGGGATTTTGGAAAAGAGCATGGGATGGAAATAACCAGGTCATCCAATAATCTACTGAATTCGACCCTAGATGTGCTGCCTGAAAATAGTACTATGAACTGGTGGCCCTGTAGTGACCATCACAAGCCTGCAGCTAAACTTTCTCAGATAGCTAACCAGTTCCACACATACAATGATTAACTGCATCCTAGAAATTCACATTCACGCTAAGTAAACTTGATATGATAAATGCTAATTACTCGATTCATGTTCATCTTGATGGTGTTCCAGGGACTAAATTAATTGTTTTCTTTGGTGTCTTAAAAGTTTTTAGCATATCTTGTGGCTAACGCAACGTTGAAAGAACATCTCATGGCTACATTTATGCTGTCTGGAGTGGCCGAGGCACCGTCTGATCTCGTATGGACGACATTCTGACAACTGTTTAGGAATAAGATATCCATCATGGTTACAACGGGTCTTCATTAAACTATCAGAATACTCAATAGCAATTAGGCAACTGAAGGACTGTCGTTAGCTGACTAAATTCCTTGGACATTTGATTGGTGAGCATAGTCCTCACCCACTGAGTGAAAAGGGTTAAATCTTTGCAAAACTTCCAGTGCATACCCCTCTCAAATGCTTGCATATATTTCCAGATATATATTAGGCTTTTACGGTCATTTCTTTACGTACATGGGTAATATTTAACTGCACCAGCAAATCTTCCTAAATGTGATTGCAAAACTTTAAAAATGACTTCTGAAGCCCCGGAAAATTCTTATTAGTTCAGGATAGCCAATTGAGGCAAGACTAATTAAGTGAATCAGGACGTTCACTTTTCCTCTCAGTGCGTTGGCTGCTTCCTCTAAGGCGGCTATAACAGATGTACTGCAACATATTAGGAACGGCACCTGGAAATCTCCGACTTCCTTTTCCAGATGTTTGCATACAAAGTGCAACACAGTACACCTGCTAATAAATTACTGGCCATCTGCCGTTCCATTCACTGCAAATGTCACACAGATCAGGCAAATTACACCACCAATATTATGTACTTTGGAATAAAATTTTTAAAACCGAATTTCATTTAAAAAGCACATAAAAATGTAGCTTGTCATTAAGACACGAAGGGTGACGCTATAATTAGTGGGGATATGCTTTTATGAGTCTTCTACTGAACCTTATTGGTTGATAAATTCGCTCCAACGTGTTTCACTAGGCTTCTCATTTCAGTCATCTAATAGCAGGCTTAAGAAAACACGTCAAACCAAAACTACTCTCTTCTGACTTAATAAGCGCTTACGGTCGGTCGCTATGTGATGTTTTGGTATGAGAGCTGGATACTAAAGTTCAAGCCTAATCAATATAATTCTGTTAAAAAGGAACGTATGATTCTTAGTAGTCAGGAAACTGTTATCTGTGACATGTTTACAGCCATCACCAGCCACCTAGGTACCCCTATCTTGACCTCGAAGTTTTCGAAACACTACCCCAGCCATGACACCACATTAAACACGCGACAGACTCATCTTTTCACAGAATACAAGTCTGTGAAAGTTCAGAGACATAAAATTAGTCCAGTTGAATCATCAGCTGCACCTAACGTAAAGTTTTAAAAGTTTATCTGGGCATTATCGGTCCCCCTCCAATGGCGACTGCTACCTACTGACATATGCAGATTGCTGCATACATTGACCAGAAGTGATTTGTCTGCGATATTTCAAAGTAAAAACTACACTGAAAAGTCATCAAGGAGTAAACAATGTCAGACGTCAGGCTTATTGTGTCGGTGAGGACTAAATTCTCTCAGCAAGTTTTGCAATGTGGTCACTAAGCAAGGTGTCCTAACATTGTATGGCATTCTGAATTGATGTAAGCTGGTTGAAGGCAGTCTGAAAGAAGTCCTCAAAGCAAGTTTCATGCTCTTTGTCACTAACCAGCATGGCGTAATAGCAACCTAGGTGGAGCAACTAGCTTGGTAACGACACTTAAAACTTGACTGATAGAACTCAGCTTGCATCAACACCAAGGGCTTGTCTCATGATATCAGTTGACATACCAATTACAGCCCCACAGGTCGATCGTGCGCCTAACAACCTCAGTATTTTTTATTCTTCTGTCAAAATAACTATCCAAATTGCCGACCAGCTACTCATAATATTGTAGAAGACTAATGGTGTTCACGAAGCTTTATTTTTCAGAGCACGTCAGAGGGCAAGTGAAGCGGGGAAAACCTAGCCAAACAAATGGAAGGGCATTCACCATTCAAAAGATAAAGAAGGCGTACATGGTCACTTATACCGTCTTTCTGAACCCCTCAGTTACTTGCTTCATCTGAGTGACCATAGCATATCCTGTTGCAGATGTCCTACAGTAGGATGTTTTCATTGGCAGTTGTAATCTACTTTAACAGCTACTGATAAATGTCAGATGGACAGAGTCTCTGTAGTTGGTCGTCCTACGCACTCTCCGCGACCCCAGAGTAGATTATTTTAGCTGATGAAGAAGATGCTTCAGAGGTTTGTGAGCTAATTACTTCAGTATCTGCAATAGCCCACTGAATCTCACACGCTGTATGCGTCAACTTCAAACAACAGTTGGTACCTATAGCGGAAGTCTACAGTTAGATATGAGGCCTCAGGATTGCAGGCACGTCTTTATACATCGTGATTATGCTCGGAAGCGGCTAGAAGCTCCCTATAATAGTTCATTCAAAGCTATCGGCAAGAGGGGAAATTTTTATGTTATCGGTCGTGCAGGATAGCAAGATACAATGAACGTCGATCGCTATTCCGATAGTTACACAATTACCACTATTCATGAGTTCTCACGTGATTTGAAACTCTCAAGTAATGTGTATTAATGCAGTATACCAGGCTTGATGAATTTGCTAGACAAGTTTCTAGAAAACTACGTTCCCATACGCAATAATCAAGCTGAATTTCACCCATGCTATCAATCAGCCATATTTTAGTCTGAAATTTTACCCCGGATAGTTAACTACAATTGAATCTAATCTCAACTATATTTTGTGAAGGTAAGATACCATTTCAAACATAACACGTTATCCCAAAAGACAGACTAAAACCGGTGAGTTCAAAAGATTTCGCTTTCTTAGCTGAGTCCATGCATCATTTATGAAGTTCATTGCAAAGGGATATGAAAGGGGCAAGTTAATTTTCATCCAATTAAATTTAATTGTTAAACAATAAACTTAAAAGTATTACTTAATAGTGCATTCCGAATAGTTCAGTTATTCTCACGGTGACTCTAAATTATAGCAGCGCGGAATGAAACTGCCTAATGAACGGATTAATGACCTTGAGCAACCAGTCATATAAGTCCATAAGATATTTATTTTATTTTGATTACAGCTTGATTCCACACCGTATTTTCAGTACAAGTATGGAATTTTCAGCATGGATATCGGTAGCCCAAATTTCAGGCCGACCATAGATATCGAATGTGCGCCGGCAGGGGATCGAACCCCGGACCATGTGCATGGTCGGTGAGAGTCCTAACCACTGTGCCACCGACGCAGAGGCGGAACTATGGATACTGTAGACGAACAACGTATCAACTTTCCAGTACTTAAGTACTGCTTAGAAAACAGGCTCATGGGAAGATAGGAAACCTGTAGCCAAGTGTCATCCATGGGCTATATTCACAACGTGGTCAATCATACAGTTGATTTCGTTAATTCTTTCTATGGGACTCACACATATTCCATCGCCACTTTCTGTAGTCACCTAAAGAACAGGATCAGGACGGTGGATGGGTCAAGAAACGCGATGATTTGTAGTCATCTCGACGAATTTATGTACAGGAATTGGTTTAACCTAACTACTATGAGAAATTGGGAGGTTTTCTTGGAGGATATATACAAGAACTTTATCCTATGTAACTATTTTTCAACAGTGCCTTACTTTTATATAAACGAGTTTTTTAAACTACGCTGTTCTACTCAAGACGCATCTGATTGGTCAGTAGACATTTATCAAGGTCTTTTTTATTAGGTAGTTTAGAATATACATTCTTACTTAATTGATTTTTTGTCAGATACTCGAATATTATACAAGAAAAGAAAATATGAAGGAAAGCATACGGACAAATAAAGCATTTATTTCTTTACAAGATCATAATTATTCTACGCGTCTTTTACTAAATTCCATATTCTCCTCATATCAATCATACAGAAAAATAAATAATTAGAATTCAATGTTCAATAAGTCAAATTGTACATTGAACAATGTTGGTCAATAAAAGATTATTTAAAAAAAAGTCATTATATCACAGAAAGATAAAGAGAGAGCGAGACAGTAAATGGTCTTTGCTATCATTTAAAATATGTGTACATTAAAAGAAACACAACTTGTTTTTATTGTTTAACAGGTAGTTTAAACGATGATATATGCACTGGTTCCCCGGGTAATTTGATTAGTTTTTTCAATAAATTCAACTTTTTTATTGTTGCAGAATCTGATTCAACTTCATATAATACAGTTAAATTAGATATCATAACATCGTGTAAACAAAATCGACGAGATTGTGTATTATCAATAGAATTCATTAGTGGCAAGCTTTGATTAGTTAATCCAATTGTTGTTAACTTTTCTAATGATTCAATTGATTCACTTAATTGTCCAAGATATAAACCACAAATTGCTAAATTATTAGCAGCCTAAATTGTAAGATAAGAAAACAGGCATTAAACAAAGATGAAAGTATCACACATATATACTATACATATAGAAACAGGCTTAAAGTGCTACATGTGCTACACAACACAATACAGTAAGATGGTATGTGCTTCTAATATTGTTATGAGTTATTTAAAAGGCACTCATTCACGTTAAACCAACACTAGAGTTTGTTGGCGCCGGATCGAGAAAGTCACCTAAACACAACAAACAGCCATTTCACTCGTTCTGAATCATATTTATAAGTAGTGGTATGTGCTCCAGTTACACTCCGTTAGTTAATATTTATTTATTTATTTTGATTTACAGCTTGATTCCACACCGTATTTTCAGTACAAGTATGGAATTTTCAGCATGGATATCGGTAGCCCAAATTCAGGCCGACCATAGATATCGGGTGTGCGCCGGCAGGGGATCGAACCCCGGACCATGTGCATGGTCGCCGAGAGTCCTAACCACTGTGCCACCGACGCACAGCCGGTGTGTCTTCTTATAGCCCAACCGAACAACTGTAATGTGGATGATTAAATTATAATTTATATATCATGTGTTAGTTTGCTGGGAGTTGACCGGTTGCAGGATTTAATCATGAGCCGACATCGAATAGAGAACCTTTGGAAACGAGCACTGGAGTACTGGACAGCTCCTTCGTCAGACTAGTTTGAGACTCTTCATCAGCACGCACCCACCCCACTGCCAGAGTTCGAACCCAGAATCTCTCGGTTAAAAAGCCGACTCGTAGACTGTTCCAGACACTGGGACCAACTCTTGAAGGTTGGTCTGACGCAAGCTAGTGACTGTCTATAGGACGGAGTTCTTTTGTGAGAAGTCGTGACCAGTGGGGTTTGCGCTAAAATCTCTAATTGGTAGAAGTTCGAGCCCATGCGCTAACCATGCAATGGAGCAGATGCATCGCATTCACTCTTTATAATCTACAAGATTCACTAAGTCCTGATAATTCTCCGTGTAACTATTCTTTATCCCATTTTTTGAGTCCATAATAGATCTTTTAATCTATTTTCATGTACTATGTGGAGTCTGGTAACTGCAATTCCTGCACTCCCGTGCAAAGTTCTACATGGGAACTCATTCTGTCAGTATGAAATAACATCAGACTGAAAATTAGTGGAAGACAAGTAGAATAGGTTAACCGTCTGCTGATTTTACGCACTTACGCAGAAATCAATTAACAATTCTATGCAATGTTAAGCATACTATGAGGAGTATTGCCAGTTTTCGCGACAATCGGATTACTACTCACAGTCAACTAGTTAAAATTCAAAGGGGAGAAGTTAAAGCATCATAGCACCATAGTCAAGGTCTGTCAAGAATTGACCTTTAAGAACCAATCAGATTTAGGGGACGCTATCAAAAAGTCATTCTAAAATCAGTCATACTTGTCTTTTTGGATTCAGCGGGGGTAGGTAGATACAGTATTCCAGGATTTTGTCATGAGCTGACATCGGTTACACAGAACCATTGGAAAACCAGCACTCAAGTGTACCGGGCAGCTGTTCCTGTTGTCCTAGTTTCGGACTGTTCACAGCAGTACCCACTCACCCCACTCACGAACTCTTTGGACTCCTTACCTTCAAGTAACAAGGCAAGCTAGTAGAATATTCAGCCACTTGGACCCAATCCAATGGCGAAACCATGAATTCCAACTTCTGCCAATTCACGCGCCACTGGCACTAGCCAATATTATCACTGGCGAGAAGTTGTCCCCTCACAACCGACCTGCTGTACCTCCTTGGTAATGGCCATGACTGCTGTCTAGTACTTTACTTTACTTCGGCTATCTCCTACGGGAGGATGAGCCGGCTTCATGAACATTGAGTTCATGAAGTTTCATGGGAATTTGGTACGAGTGATGTCCCCAGAATCGCTCGGCCATTTGTTTGAGAGTGCAGCTCTAGCCTTTACACAACCAAGTGTGACCTACAAGGCAGTAGGAGTGGAGTAGGGAGTCCACTATCCATTGGCAGCCGGTGACCGGAGTTCGGTTCATACGCCTTTTTGTATGGGGCCAGACATCCAGGACATCCAACAAGTCCTTTGTCCATACGTCTGCCGGTGAGCTCCAGTGAGCTTCATACACCAGTCGTTGGAGGTTTGGAATCAGGGTTTAGCCATCTCCCCTAGACTGTCATCCAATGGACAGTCAACCCGGTGAAGAGCGCCGGGCATCCGCTTAGGCTTTCCAAAGGTTCTCTAACCGATGTAAGCTCATGATGAAATTCTGTTACTAACGAAACGCTTGCAAAATAACACTTGAATTATGATTAGTAGTCCAAGGTCACTGGGATTTTAGCCATGATAGTTTAACTTCGCTTGCAATGGAATTCATTCCCTACATATTGAGATACAGTACAACCATTATTTGATATCATCAGTGAATAATCGTCATTACATCTGATATGAATAACACTGACAAACAAAACAGTCAATACAATTTGGGAATATCCCTAATGTTTCCTGATTTCAAATTGATGTTTACTTGATCTGAAATCATGACAAAGATTATTCAGGACACAAGTTATTTGTTAGATAATAGACTTACAGCCACATTTGTAGGATCTAAGCGTAAAACTTCCACGAAGAGTTTTTTAGCTTCTTCATATTCACCTTTAGCAATACACAACAAACCACTGAGAAAAAAAAATTTAAAAAATAAGAAATTTAAATATTACTCGCATAGAAAAGTATTCAGACTTATTTCTATAGAAGATAAATAATGAAGATCTACAAATTTCAGTATACAAGAGTCCATTTGGGAGACCTACTTAAAACGTGGGCTACTGAAAACCCCTACCAATTTATTGCAAATAATTTCCCTTATTCAATTTGTTTAAATCTAGTAAAATATAACCTCTGATAGTTTTGTTTACTATGGCAAGTATTTGAAACATTTAAAACCTGCTGATTCGCAAGTCAATTCTAATAAACGTAGGGAAAAGCATTATCCTTATCCCAGTACATGATATGACCATTCCTCAGTGGTGCCCTTAGTTCACAAAATGTACTCTTGAACCTTCTATAATTGGTATTCAACAAAATATCGTCGTGTATTTCTCGAGAGAGGCAAGGAAAATATATCATAATGGATTGGTTTGCGCTTCAGGTCAGATAGAACTGTTTGTGATGATATTAGATGGTTGGAGGCAATCGGCCACAGGAAGCCTTGGACCTAGGTTTCGTGCTAGTTGGCACTCTTCAGCAAGGCGTATCTGCAACCTTGAAGGAACTCATGTCCCTTCTGAGATTCGAACCCGCGTCACCCAGTGCTGCAGTCAGAGACGTTACCACTGAGCTATTCGGGCTCGCGATTAACCTCCTGTAGGACTGTAGTGGATATTTTGATTTGACACTAGTAACTAGTGTGATGCGTCTAGTCCTCTCTTTGGTGCAGACTGAATTCTATCAGTCACATCACAAACAATGTACACCGTGATGGAGAGCTACCTAGAATGGTGGCCACATTACAACCTGACTGATAGAATTCAGTCTGCACCAAAGAGAGGACTAGACGCATCACACTAGTTACTAGTGTCAAATCAGATAGAACTGTGTCACACGATCTACTATCGGTCAATTAATCTTCTATTTGAAGGTCCTGGACGAAAAGAAAATATCATGCAATGAACTCAGCTGAAAATTCTGTACGTTATATAAACACTGTTTCAGAATAAAGCCATTGCTATTTTAAAAAGAACATCTGTCTAGAGCATTCTACTTTATTGACGTCTTCTTAATGAAAAAGAAAACTCCTTGAAGATACTTTGACGAGAGAAATTCCACTAATTCATGAAATTTTCCACTGCTGGTGTGAACCACACAAGGAGTTGTAGATTATCAGTATGGGGGACAGATTGTTGATGGTGTACATGGTTCTAGTAATATATATATATATATATATATACATGGTGAGAGTCAAAATTGGTAGACAGCAATTTATGTCAATGTTTACCTCCCATATCTTGGTCATGAGAAAACAAACAAGAACAAAGACTAATTCAACAACCAATCACAGCAGACTTTGCGTGGGTGGACACGATACGCAGATATATGGTCTGTCGTTCAAAGAAATGGTCATAAAGAGATGACAGATTAACTTTCAGCGAGAAAACAGCCAATCAGAAGACGTTGTTTCTCTGCTAACAATAACGAATAATAATGTACATAAAAATCTATAAATGTCTGTTGATTTTCTTAAATAAACGAGCTGTTGCCTGGCCCTTATCTTCTGTCATAACACTACTACTGGCTAAGCGATGTTAAGGAGTTCGTCGGCCAAGGATCGAATCCTGATGACCAATGATAAATGAGCCAAAGCTGCACAAATAATAACATGAATAAATATCAGTTATTTAGAACTATCATTTGAGTTTTTGAAATCCTGTCAAAATCATTGAAACTTTCTTCTAACAATCACATCAACAAAGAGTATTTTGCAATTTATTTAGCCAAGATATCAGTTGACACGATAGTCAATGAATAATAATGCTTCATGTATGGACATCCTAGTTAGTGATAGTACTTGTATGCCTAGATATATTGAATACTACTCGATTTTTTGTATGTATATATAAATATTCATATGAGTAATGTATGAATACGTGTTAAAAAACCAACAACTTACTTTTGAAAACTTTTCCTTATTAACAATTGAGTTGAATCATTATTGCACGATGAATCTGTACTACTACTATTACCACTACTGGATATCGATTTATCAAAATATGCCTTTGCAGTCTCTAAATCACCAAACTAAAGAAAAAGTATAAAAACAAGCATAGAAGGAAATTAACACAACAACAAATAACACAACATTATTATTTAAATCAATTTGGATTGTACCGAAATGCTCGGCCTCAGGTATCGAAAGTTCTAGGCTCAATAATACTGTGTAAACTAAGTTGTGCTCAGGAAGCACAAACACAAGAGAACCAGGCAGGCTTTAGACCATAAAGAGAGGGTGCATTGGTCATATCTTCATCCATCAACAGATTCTCGAACATAGGCGTACTTACCGTCGGTGTCCAACAATCGTTATATTTCTTGACCTAAAGGCGGCATTCGATTCTGTCGACCAAAAGGTACTATGGCGATGCTTGGTTGTAAAAGGAATGCCGAGAAAATACATTGCACTCTACTCGAACTCATGCAGCCAGGTGAGAGCTTACGGAGAGTTTTCATCTGAAGTGATGACAACCACTGGTACGCGTCAGGGATCCCCATTGTTCCCATTTCTTTTTAATTTCATTATAGATGCACTAATGGAATTAACCCTGACTTCTGACTTCAGCGACTCATGGATCGACTTGTTACCAGGGAAAAATCTCGTTGACTAAGAATATGCAGATGACATAGTCCTTCTAGGTGAAGACGCTGACAAAATGCAGCGTCCTCTGAACACCTTGAGCTGCAATCTGCGAATGTTTTGCATGCAACTCGCTCCATTTGTCAAATGTGGGATGATGAGGCTACAGGACTACTGGACTAGATTCACTACTAGCTTAGAAATAGGAAGTGAAGTGGTAGAGTGTGTTGACCACTTCACTTAATTGGGAAGTTGCATCAACTAACGCCAACGGATTGATCGCTGATGAAACCTCTGCACGGATACAGAGGGCAAGTTTCGCGCATATGCCAGTTTACGCCGTCTCTGGCTTAGCAGACGTGAAATCCGGCTATCGACCAAAGGGCGGATGTACTGCTCAGCAGTCTGGTCCGTCCTCTTTTATGACTGTGAGACCTGGTCACTGAGAGTGGAAGACATGAAAAGACTAACTGCTTTTGATCATAGGTGCCTGCGTTCTATCTCACGTGTGAAATGGTATAATAGGATGAGCAATATTGACGTAAGGCATCGGTCGATTGCTAGGTAAGCTGGAGGGGGAATCAATAGACGAGGCTGTGAAGTTTCATCGATTGAGAGCGATGGTTAGGACATTTGTTACGCATGACTAGCCATAGCTTTCCTCGACAACGGGCAATGTTAGCTGACATAGGGTCAGGCTGGAAAAGGGCTGGCGGCGGTCAAACGAAAACATAGCACCAGTCAATGAAATCCAAAACAATTAGTTTAAGCCATGTAGGAAAGTGTAGACTTCCTGGTTGGGGTCTTTGGGACGGTAAAAACCAATGGCTGGAGACAATTGGTGATATGGCTCAAAATCGTTCTGGATGACGGCGCAGATGCATCCACTCCCTGTGACTTATTATGAAACTATATTATTCTTCGTTATTTCTATTCCATTTGTCTCAAATCCCTATCTACTGTCCCTATTTTACATTTCTTCTACTTTTTTCTCTTGCTTCGTGTACTACATGGAAAGTGGCGACTTGAACTGTTGCACATCGGTGCAAAGTTCTATATCGAAAACAGAGAGACAGAAAAGAATATCATAGGATTTATACCAATAAACATCCACTCACAACACATATTCATTATACCCCAAATAGGCAAACATACACACTAACGAACTCAACACTCTTACAAATAACTAATCCCCTTAATATTGCATTCAAATACACACGAAATAGTGTAGTCAGTAGGCTGTTTTTGTTGTAAATGCTTCCAAAATGTGACATCCATCAAGGATGCTCACTGTCTGAATTCGTATATCTAATCTTCTATATACATTTATTTTCTACAGGATTTCATCATGAGCTGACATTGGTTGAAGAACCAATGGAAAACTAGCACTCAAGTACTGGACAGCTGTTTCGCCAGACTAGTTTCGGACTCATCAGCAGTACGCAACCAACCGACTGACAGGGTCCAAGCCCAAGACCTTCCGGGTACAAAGCGAGCTACCGGAACCTGACCAGGCCATGAATTCTAACTTCTGCCAATTCACGCAAGATATAGCGCAACTGGCACTAGCCAATGTCATCACTGGCGAGTATTTGTCCACACACCCGACCTGCTGTACCCCACTGGTCACGACTTCTCACTGTTCATTATAGATCTTATGAATTTTTATGTTTTAATTGCTGAATTTTTTTATGGAAAGTAGTCGTTAGTCAGTTAGAAATCACAGAGATGCGATACCAATGCTCATTTTCAAGCAAAGCAAAGATTAAAACAAAACCTACCTGTAAGTAAATACGTCCAAGTAGACTACAGAATCCTCTAAGTGCAGCTTGATTATCTCTGTGTAAACAAGCAATTTGATGTACAACTTGAATCGCGGATTGATAGTCGAATTTCTGTAGAAAAATTGATAAACAACTAGACAGGAGACGAATTTCACGACTTTTCCATAAATTCATTGAAGCTGAATGATGATTCATTTATCGTGGACGGCAGATTCGAGTGGAGGCGGGCGTATAGATGAGAAGATAGAAGCAAGATAGGAAGAAGATTATTCAGTATTCACAGATGAATTATGAATTCTATTAGGGAACACAATTTGATATAGTCAAACAAAATGCTGGTTTTTCACTGAGTAACACTCATATTGTGCCTTCCTCTCATACCACTGACCGCAACTTACCCCTTGAAATTTACACCTTTGCTTTAGTTGTTAGATTTCGTCATGAACCACAGGTATTGTGGTGAGAGCTGTCTGCAACACAAAATTGTAGACGTCAATTTACGTCAATGTTTACGTTCCGAATCGACGTCATGAGAAAAACATTTTTTTTGTTCAGCAAAGAAATTTCTTTTCAACGACTTCCTTTTCAAGCTGTACAGTCGTATTTATATTACGGAAAAGGTTATTAAATGGCACTAAATAATTGATCAGTCAATATATACATATATATATATATATATATATATGATAAGAATAACAATAATTAAAATGTTATAAAAGGGCAGAGTTGAAGCGGATGAATTATAAAATTGTTAAAGATTGTTTTATAAGTGAATTGATATCAAAAATATTTTCTTTTAAAAATGTCAAGCGTTGTCTAAAAATTTTAAAAATTAGGAGTGAAGTGGAATGAATTCAAGTGGTAAAATAAAATAAAAACTAGAAAGAACATTACTATGACCAAGGTAAAGAAAGGGGTTTGACAAAACGTTTTTGAACACATAATTTAAGTTTTCGTTCATGTATAGCTAAAACTTCGGCTATGCATAAGTGAAGAAAACGTAAACTTTTCGAGCGATTCGATTTTGCCATGTAGATAACCTTGAAGGATGAATCACGTGGGACTGAATGACCAAACTCTTACAGGTGATCACAAATAGACAACTTCGCAGTTCTACGTTCGCCTTTCATTAACCAAACCGGATAGTATTCAGCTACACGTTTTCGGAGAGCACGCTTACAACGTCCAATATAATCAGCTCCAAAGGAGCAGGTAAAAGAGTAAATGCACATAGATGTGGACATTAGCGGTAATCTATCCTTGACGCATTGTCTAATCATATTTCGGCTGGTAAGAACTAGTTGCAAGTCAGCTGCAGGAAAAGTGAGTTTAATACATTTAGATAAACGATTTTTAATCAATTCAGAAATGGTGTCACCTTTGAATGCAAGACTAATAAAGTTTTTTTCTTTGGCACTGTGATTTGTCTAGGGGCGGATTCTTTCTTGATGTTACGTTCAATAAACCTTGTAGGATATCCATTGTTAAGGAGATTTGATCGAAGGTTATCTAGTTCACTACCGATTGTCTTTATAGAGCAGATTTTACGAAATCTGGAGCATAAGGAATGAATAAGATTTCCCTTTCTCCCTAAAGGTACCCAACTGTTGAAGTTAGTGTACTGCCCTGTGAATGTTGGCTTTCAGTAAATCGACCTCAACAGCGTTCCATTCTCTGTTCTATCTAGCTTAACGTCAACAATAACGAAACCTAACCTTGAGGAACTCACCAACCAATCACAGCAGACTTAACGTATGCAAATACGATTCGCATATATATGGCTTAACTTTCTAAGAAACGGTCACAAGCAGTACAGAATAACCTCCATCAAGAAAACAACCAATCAGAAGACGTCGCTTCTCTGAAAACAATAACGCTAGTAATAATGTACATAAAAATCTATAAATATCTGTTGATTTTTCTCAATAGAGGATCTGTTGCCTGGCCGTTGTCTTCTGTCGTTAGAGTATCAGTTAAAAAGATCATTGCAAACCAAGAAGGGAGCACTGGACATAACTGTTTCCTCCTATTTTGGAACTTCTCAACAATACCTTCAGCACCCACGACGCCGCTAGGGATCCAGTCCGGGATCTTCAGGTTACGACACTAAGCTCACTGACCATTTACCAGCTACTTCGGTTGGAAGTCAGTGGACTCGTGAATTCTAACTTGGTCAATTCGTGGCATAGCACCACCCTAAAATCAATACCTCCATTGAGCATCCATTCCAAATTCCTACAAATCGTACAATCTGAATACCAATCTCCAGTTCATTAATGCCTACTGAATGGATATTCTAAAGCTGTTATAGTTAAAAGTCGTGGTCAGCAGGTTTCACTTCTTCAAGGTGAAGTGAATTATAAATACATAAACACATACACACATCGTTGAGTTAGTTAGTTAATTAGGTTTAGGTTAACCTAATTAGAGAAATATTCAGGTCGTTTAAGGATAAGTTCGTGTGACGGCGGTTCGGCGGTAGAACACTCACCCCTCATGTGGCCCGGGGTTCAATCCCCAACCCTACTAAGCCGGTAAACAGGGAAGGTTGGGGGTGAAGCCAGCAACTCCACCCCAAAAAAATAAACATCACTGCTATCGAAATAAAAAAAAAATAAAGATAGATTTGGGTTAGGATTGAGCTAGAAGCCCAAATTCCTCATTCCAGTGCCACTCTATTGATGCATTCTAATATCTTGGGTGTGTGTGTCTAAGGTTGAACTTATTATTATTTTTTTATTTTGGTTACAGCTTGATGCCACACCGTATTTTCAGTACAAGTATGGTATTTTCAGCATGGATATCGGTAGCCCAAATTCAGGCCGACCATAGATATCGGGTGTGCGCCGGCAGGGGCTCGAACCTCGGACCATGTGCATGGTCGGCGAGAGTCCTAACCACTGTGCCACCGACGCACTTTAATCCATACTTGTACGAAACAGACATCATGTAGTCACTGGTTTTCAAAAACTCTTCGAGTTGATATACAGTGCCAGTGGCGAAAATAAAGTTAAATCTACACAATTTATGTACACAGAACAGTAGAATTAAAAATATATGAATGAGTTTAAAAAGACGGGGAGAGGAAATAATAAAATAAAAATCAAGTAGTCAAACGAAGACTCGATAAAGCCATCAAGAGAACGTTTTATGCTACAAAACTTGTCTTCCTTAACACCACTAAGCGAGTGCTTCAACGATCTGGGAAAGAGCAGTCGCCAATCCTCGACACTTCAAACTGCGTATTTCAATTTGCGTGTGTTTGTGGAAGCAAATACATAGGTCGTACAGAAAGGCGATTGTCTACTCGCATGATGGAGCATTTGCCAAAATGGTTGAAAACAGCTGAGTTCAAAGTGCCAAAATCCTCAATAACAAAACACCTTGTGGACTACGGACATGATATCGACGCGGTCAAGTCAATCACTATTGTCAGCAGACAAAGAAACAAGAAGATGCTTGCAATTGCAAAGGCTTGTGCAATTCGAGTTTACAAACCAGGTCTCTGTGTACAAAAGGAGATGGTCGTGACTCTGAATCTACCATGGTAATACGTTTTACTTATAATTCCACCTCTTATTATTATTATTATTTTATTATTACTATTATTATTCTCATTATTATTATTATTCTTGATTCATTTAAAACTATCCTTTATCAGTAGAATTATCTTAGCTCACTTCAACACTATTATTATTATTGTTATTATAACTATTACTATTGACATCACTCTACAATTCTTGTTATATTTTCTAATGACTAATTGTTTATCTAAGTGATGTAATTGAAGAGTAATGCATTTTATCTTAATTTTGATCTCTCATACTCTCTCTCCCCTTATCTATTTGAACATGATCTGGAAAACATTCACACGTATCCTTTTGCAAGATTAATTCAATGTAGTTTATTTACTTATCAGTCCTATATCTCCCAATGTAATTTCAAAAGTATATATCCGTGTATGTAGAGTATTCAGCTGACGAGTTCTACCGAAATTTGATGAATTCATTAAATCCTGCTTTATTAACCTTTATTGCTTGTTTTAAATAAAAATCAGTTGAACGTCAAGAATTTCTGTTGATAAGAAACAACTGACGGCCAGAATATCATGCTCTTATAGTCCATAGTACCAATTGAATCCTATAGGTCAAGCTTCCAATGTGTCACCAACACACCAACCTAGGTAACCCATCATCAAAATGCATTGTGAACTGATGTTGACAGCTCACAACACTGGGACCTAGGCGGCTTCCTGTTGAGTGACTCCAAACATCCAGCAAGCATCTACCATATCACAATTGAATACAAACAAAGTTACACAGTAAACCTCCAACCATATACGATAATCTTCTACGCCACCTTGGTGTAAATAAGTTGGATTTCAAATCCCTGTTATGTCATGGTGTATAGTAACATTTCAAGCAGCCAATCAGAACTGTTTATCACACTAGTGACTTGGCTATATATTTTCTGGTATGTGTGAAATACGTATTACTGCAGTGTATGTGTTACTGAGACGATTTATCAGTAGTATACACAAGGAGACGTTCAACGGTACAGATGTGACGTGTGAAAGACAACAAAATGAACCAGTTTCGCGGAAAAATAAAACATGAAAAGAAGACAAAGAAACCCAATACGAAGGAATGGAAGAAGTAAGTAGCACAACACGGAAGACCTGTGCAAATAAAGATTTTTTATACAAAGTGTACATAATTTCCACAAAATTGGATATCAAATTGCAGGTTAACATTCCGTTATCAAGTCTCTTGGCTTCTAACGTTACACTCCCACCCATAAAAAAATTAACTCAGTTACTCTATAAGCTAATTCAGTTTTGAAATAAAGCAGAAAAGCAAACATTTTTGTGCATAATAATGTGAGGCCATCATCATTTACTTGGTTGGATCCTCTTCTTCAGCTGCTTACAACTTAAAAGTTGATTGTGTAAATGTACTCAGAATTTTTTTGTACTTGCAAGGATCAACAGGTTTTTTGTTAACAAAGAGACACACAAGTTAAGTAAACAATGTTGCGAAGTTCCATCTACTTGACTTACGAAGGGGGTCAAGACTCAATCAAATAAAATGCAAATATGCGAAATTAAATGGTCTGATACATTGAAAATTGAGTTGCTGCACAGTTAAGACAGACAAGAGGAGAGAAGTTGATGATGAGTAAAATAGTGTGGTCAGTTTAACTCAACTCATAGAAACAAATCTCGTTGACTTAGAATATGCAGACGATATAGTCCTTCTAGGCGAGGACGCTGACAAAATGCAGAGTCTTCTGAACACCTTGAGCAGCAATCTTCGTATGTTTGGCATGCGATTCGCCCCTGTAAAATCTAAGATGATGTTGCAGGATTGGACTACACCAACGCCTAGATTAGAAATAGGAAGTGAAGTGGTAGAGCACGTTGATCGCTTCACTTATTTGGGAAGTACCATCAGCCAATGCCAACGGGTTGATCTCTGAAGAAATCTCAGCGCGAATACAGAGGGCTAGTTTTGCATATGCCAGTTTACGCTGTCTCTCGCTTAGTAGACGTGATATCCGGCTATCGACCAAAGGACGTGTGTACTGCTCAGCAGTCCGCTCCGTCCTCCTTTATGGCTGTGAGACCTGGCCATCGAGAGTGGAAGACATAAAAAGCCTGGTTAGCTGTCTTTGATTATAGGTGCCTGCGTTATATCTCCCGCGTGAAGTGCTATAATAAGGTGAGCAATATTGAGGTAAGGAGGGGAAATCATCCGACAAAACTGTGAAATTACATCGACTGAGAGAGATGGTTAGGACATTTGTTACGTATGCCTAGTCATCGCCTTCCTCGACAATGGGCAATGTTAGCTGATATAAGGCCAGGCTGGAAAAGAGCTAGCGGCGGTCAAACGAAAATATGGCACCAGTCAATGAAATCTACAACAGTTAGTCTAAGCCACGTAGGAAGGTGTAGACTTCCTGGTTGGGGTCCTCGGGACGGTAAAAACCAGTGGTTGGAAACAATTGGTGATATGGCTCAAATGGTTCTCAATGGCTAACGCAGATGCATCCAGTCCTTGTGACTTGTGATTTCCAGTTAACCTTTTTTTCTTCGTTATTACTATACCTTTGTCTCACACCTCTGTTTACTGTTTATATTATGCATTTCTCCTACTTTCTTCTCTTGCTTTGTGTGCTACAAGGAGGGAGTGTGGCGAATTGAATTGCCGCACATAAGTGCAAAGTTCTATGTCGAAAACAGACAGACAGACGTAGAAACAAAAAAGAGATGAATTACACCAAACCAGAAAAAAATGAAGGTGGGAGGTCGCCCCTGTGAAATGCAAGATGCTGCTACAGGACAGGACTACGTCAACTCCTAGCTTAGTGATAGGGAGTGAAGTGATAGATGTTGACCATTTCACCTATTTGGGAAGTTGTATCAGCACCAACGGATTGATTGGTAACGAAATCACAGCGCGGATCCAGAAAGCTCGGGCTGCTTTCGCTAACTTACACCGTCTCTGGCGTAGGCGTGACATCCGGCTATCAACCAAGGTACGTGTATACAGCTCAGCAGTTCGCTCCGTCCTTCTCTATGGCGGTGAGACGTGGCCATTGAGAGCGGAAGACATGAAGAGATTGTCTGTTTTTGACCACAGATGTTTACGATCTCTTTCTCGCGTTAGGTGGTATAATAAGGTAAGTAATGTTGACGTTAGGCGTAGAGTGTTGGGCAAAGAGGGAAAATCAATAGAAGAGGCTATGAAGTTACATAGATTGAGATGGTTAGGCCACGTGCTGCACATGCCTAACCATCGTCTCCCCCGACGGGAATTACTAGCTGATATAGGTGCAGGTTGGAAAAGAGTAAGTGGTGGCCAAACAAAAACTTGGCATCAATCCATGAAATCCCTGACAGTTAAACTGAGTCAGGTAGGGAGATGCAGACTTCTGGGTTGGCGCCCTCGGGACTCTAAGAATCAATGGCTGGAGACAATAGGTGACATGGCTCAAAATCGTTGTCAATGGCTTACGCAGATGTATTCAGTCTCTTTAATCTTTCATATTCCTTTCTACCATTACTCATTCTGTTTCACTCTTATACTCATCTAAATTCTATTGATTCTCTTCACTCATTTTCTTGTCTACCTTTGTGTGCTATTTGGAACGTGGCAACTCGAACTGCTGCACTTCGGTGCCAAGTTCTATGTTGAATCCAGCAGCAGCAGCAGCAAGGAGGTTAAAAGCGACAGATTACGTAACCAATTGAGACAAAGACATTAAACGTTGAGTCACCAAGGCAAAAAGAAACATTGATTAAGTGAATCTTTTTAACCATATAGATCAGATTTTAAACGTTTACTAGCAATTGCTTCGACAACATTTGAGGAGAGTTGAGTTGTACTGTCTATTAATAATCTTGAAGGATTCCATCGTGTCCACCTCGTGACCCGTATCAACAAGATGTCTGGCTGTAGTACTGTTTAAAGCACTGGTTCCCTTGAGAGATAAGCGTTTCGGTAAATGTTCAGAGGATCTGAGATACGCCCTTCTTTTTGTTAACCCAATGTTGTAACTACTCCCGCAGATACACATAAATTTGTATACACAATTAGAGTTAACATTGGAAGGGTATCTCTCTCTATCAACCTTTGTTTGACTGTACCAAAGAATTTGTTGTTCAATAAACAAGAAGCAATTCGGCTGCAGGATAGGTTCTAGTTAGACCCGCTTTCAATCCAGTTGGATGAAAACAGGCTTCTTATCGACTGTAGTTTGTTTCACCTATAGATTTCCAAACCTTCCATACATCTAGATGAATTTATGAGGATGACCATTATATTTCATAACTTTCTCAATGTTTAGGAGTTCTTCTTCCAGCATTCCCGTGGAGCATACTTTTCTAGCTCTGTAAAACAGAATATTGACCAATACTCGTTTGTAGTTGACTCGACCAAAACTATTGATTTAGACTTTAAAGTATGAGCTTCGATAACACTATTTTAGGAGTTCATGGATTATAATCCCATCATGGGTAAAATTTATTCTGATAAAGTCTCACTATGTTATTCAGTAATATTTACTGATGACCAGGTTTCGAGCACAATTTATTGCCACTCATAATCATATCAAGGTACTCACATATCCTTTACAATTAATAATTGTCAAACTAGTAATAATAACATAAATAAGAGAGAATATAAGGCATCTACTGTTATGCCATATACGGAGGGGACATCTGAGACCGTCTCTACGTAGGATTATTAATTGAGCAGGAATTAGGCTGGTGGCATTTAAACCTACAAACTCACTCAGGCACGACAAGCTCTGTAGCTTAAAGGAACCAGTTGACCCAATTAAACAAAATAATATAATTTACAAAATACCCTCCAATGACTGTGGGCTAGGCCAACTACATAGGTCAAACTAGTAGGTCAGGTTGTCGGAACATAAGAATTTAGCTAAGGTAAGAATGGTTGATCTCGAGAAGATAAGTAATTCAGAAAATAGCTCAGCACTGCATGCATTAACACACAACTACACAATAGGGTGGGAGAGGATTAAAATTCTAAGAAGTAATATAGGTAGGTGGAGGGAGAAAGAGGTGGATTACTGAATCCTTGTTCATCGAGTCTACACCAAACACGTGCAATAGGAATGACTCACCACTCAAGCCAGAAATATGGAAAATACTACTACCAATCAAGTCAAGAGATAAAAGATAATGAAATTACATAAACAAAGTTAGAAAGTTGCGTGAATACCTTGATATGATTATGAGCAGTAATAAATTGTGCTCGAAACGTGGTCATCACTAAATATTACTGTATAATACTGTGATACTTTATCAAAATAAATTTTACCCATAATGGAATTATACTCTACCACCACAGTGCACAAGTTTTATTCTTATATGCATGGATTACACTGGACCTACTCTAAGCAGGTGGTTCTAAGAATTATGTACTACAAAACAAAGGCAAATTCATATATATATTCCTCCATTCCTTGCTTTGTTCCGAATAAAAAAACACACAAGTGGCTGCATGCTTTTGCGAATTTACTGTAGCCGCATGATATTGTTGGTTGTTTTTTCATAGTACAGTCTCGTTTAGCTTCCATTTTTTCCGGGCGGATGAATACCACCCCCACCAGCTAGGCGAGGTTTAAGAGTGCATTGGGCGGGATTCGAACCCTGACCTTGCACCTCATTGTGGAATACGTCATACCACGGATAACAGGACCTATAAATATTGATGACATGTGTGACTACAAGCATAAGTAAAATAAAACTTACTCTGTCGATACACAGGATCTGATTCACTTGTCAAACCGTCTTCTTTGAAACCTTTCTCAAGATTACTTCGAATCTACATAACACAACGAGAAGAAACAAATATGAGAAAGAAAGAAACAATATTCCGAGTAAAATAAGAATTTCACTAACGCGTATCGATCGCAGACAATTAAAGCAAACTGACAATCAGACGGAATTCAATCATCAGTAAACCCAAGGTTTGTCATTCTCTAGCCGACGAATGATTCGGATTCAAACGAAGGATAAGCTAGATAGATAGTTCTACCACGTCAACTGCACCTAAGGCGACAGTCATGTTGGGTTTACTAACACCCAACTTAGCCAACGTGTCACCACTGAACATCTCCTATTGTGGTTTGACAAAGGGCAGACAAAAACTATATCCGTAGCTCCGTTTTGTCACATTTACTTGATGCTGGTCATTTGGTGGAGATGAAGATGGCATTCAAGGTGATTCATTAGAGATCCTGCACACACACAGTTTGTTGATAAATGCTAATAAAAAAAAGATAATTTAGACCAAATTTTGCTTCATTTGTTAATTTGTTCATAATAATTAATCAGACGAGCACTTTCTTTCCTCAAGAGTTGATTTGATTTGTCTTTCCAGTTTGACCACGGTGGACTCATATCCGTTAGAGAACCACTGAAAACCAGGGAGTACACTGCACAGCTGTTTCATCAACCTAGTTTGGGAATCACCAGCAGTATGCACCCACGACTTTCCAGTTACAAGGCAAGCTAGCTCGTGTACTTTTCAGCCACTGGGAACCGATTCAATGGACAGCTTATGAATTCTTAATCTTACCAATTCGTGATTCATTTAGCGCGACAACCAACCAATGTCATCAGCGGGAACTTCATTCCGACTTCACTCCCGACTGGATGGACCTCACTGGTCACGACTTCTCACTAGAACTGACTCCAGGAAACTCCGTCCTGTAGCAAGTCACCACCAACGAGCATCATATTAATTTTTAAGAGTCGGCTTTGTAAGGATTAAATTTTTTTACGAGCTAGACCGCGGATTGATATCAGTTAGAGAACCACCATGGAAAACTAGCACTGGAGTACTGAACAGCTGTTTCATCTTTAGTTTTCTTGTGAATTATTTACCTATTTTGCATACAAAACACACGATTACTAGTTACACTTATTGTTATATATAAATATGGGATTCAGTTGATTTGAAATGATTCGCGCCCCCCCCCCTTTGAGCTCAGACTGACGACCAACAGGTATAGCCTGTGACGAGGTCGCCACCCCCCTCGAAATGGATGAAATGACTCTCCCGGGATTAAATCATTTCCAACTGGCCAGCAATTATTCAAATCAACCAGAACTGTCTATACACCATCATGACATTTCATTCGCTCTTTTTCTTGATTGCCATTTATGCTATCACACATTGTGATGTAACACATATTTCTTGACTTCCATAAACAATTGTGATGAGCTGCCCGTCTCGAACCGTGTAATTTATAAATGACAAATTTAAATCAGTTCTACTTATATGCGTATGGTTGCAAAAACGTCAATTAATTAGACCTGAATTGACCGACACAAGAGCCAGATAGTTATTGTAAGAAAGCTGATAGACCAAACACCACCACACCCAGCTGCTCACGATGAAGTGAGATTCAAAGTCGGAGCCCTTACTGGTGGTTGACAGTGTCAGGTAAATGATCGTAAGTTCACATGAATGATGCTCGGCAAGGCTTCGTGTGTTCTTGGAAGTGTGTGTGAGCGGTTGTTACTTCCCGGCTGACCACACCGTAGAAGTTGACTGATTCTTTGGGTGGTACATGAAACAGAAAGAGGGTTAGTGTTGCGTGATCGCAGAGTCCAGGGGACAACTGCTTGAGGCCGGCCGGTCGGTCACACACGACCTGCATG